CTAATTTTGTGTATGTATGTATATGTGTGTGTGAGTGTGTGTGTGTATATACTGTAGATATATAGAGAACAATCTATAAATACTTGACTTTTGTCTGAAATATTGTTAATCTTCATCGCTCAAAATTTGAAGGAATATTAGCTAAAGGTGATGTGAGTGATGTGATACCACTGATATACTAGCATGTTTGACAGGATAACCAAGGCATTTCAACAAAACCCTTTATTTTGTGGAAAATACGGTGATCAAAATTAGAGAACAGTAACCAATGTAGCAGGAAAGAAGATTACAACTAAAATTTTGGAGGGTTACAGCTGTCAGAAATGAGTAGGAAGTGTAGAGGCCCTTTCTCTGAAAGACTTCAGCAGATCTGTGGCCGCAGGACATCAGTAGTTTCTCACACTGTGCTGGTGTGATCTTGATCTGCTCTTCTTCCAGACTCTTCTATAGTTCGGTACTGTAGTGTTTCTTAGCCATAACTTTGTCTCCAAGGGTTTTCCAGAGATTTTCAGTTGTGTTTAGATCAGGACTCTGGGCCGGCCATTTCATTATTTCAGAGTTCTCCGCTTCAAGGAACTGCTTTACCTGTTTTGCAGTGACGGGAACTTTGTCTAGCATGAAAATTGCAGGCATTGCAGGGAATGAACCGCATGTTGCTGAAGGAGATTCTGATAAACATTTGCATTCAGCTGCCATGTATCTGTATAAGAGGCCCAACTCCTGCTGCAGTAAACATCCCCCAAACCATGACACTTCCTCCCCCACCTTTCACTGACTTCTTTACACACTCGGGCTTCAGTCTTTCCCCAGTTTGACGCCAAACAAAATGTTTACCATCAAACTCAAATAAATTTAACTTGCTCTCATCACTAAAGTTACTTTGGATCAGTTCTCATCTCTCCACACAAGAGAGCTCCTCAGCAAAGGTGAGTCTAGCCTTTTGATTCTTTCTGCTGGTGAGAGAGCGCTTTCAGTCCAACCTCACCTAAACGTGCCGAGACGGATCATACCCTGTTCAGTGCTGAACTGGCGAGCAATTCCAGCTGCAGTGCTGAACCGATTCCCCACTGAGAGTCTCCTCATTATCCTGTCTTCTCCTGCATTTGTCTTGTGTGGAAGACCAGCCTTTTTGGGGGACAAACTTCTCTTGCAGTGGCTGAAAGTGTAGTCCCTTTGGCCTTCATCTGGACAACCTCCTGTCGCAGGCTTTCAGTCACCTTAGAGCGGCCCGCCATCTTGCAATCTCAGTGAAAAATAGAGGAATGCTGCCAGTTAAATAAGGTTTGTCATATAATTAAGGAAATTAGCACCAGGTGCCAGATTAACACCAATAAATGGGAGGTATCTGTAAGTGTTCTCTAATTTTGATCAGAGTTCTTTCAAATATTTTAAGTTTTTTATACTGTGCTTCAGAATACAATTAATTTATTAAATATGCTTAAAAAACTGCCCTTCTACTCCTGTTAGGATAACTTCAGATAAGACTATGAGACCTTGAAATTTAGGAAATTGTAGGGTCTCTAATTTTGATCTCCACTGTATATACACACATACATACATGCATATGTCTGTGTGTGTGTAATTTTCAAGCATTTTGAAGTGTTGTTTTCTGGACAATTACTTCCTAGCCAAATTCTCAGTGAAAAGAAATACAGTATTATTTTTTATTGTAGTATACAGTGTTATATTGTACTGTGATTAAATATGTAATTTAATATGTAAATTAAATAATTTGACATTTAATGTATCTTTTAATTTTTTTAATAATTTCAAATATCAGTATTCAATATTTCATGTTTAATGTAACTTTTGTAACTGCAGGTTAAACCATTCCATGTCCCTCTAAGATGCCACTTCTTTTAACTTCTGCAAAGATTAATTTTGTTGATACTGATTTCATTTGTTTAGTAACAGCCCAAATGTATTATTATTATAATTGACTGATTAAATGTAAGAATTTGACTCAAAAGATAATGCACACTTTTAGAAAAAATGGCTTTATAAACGTAAAAATGCACACAAAAGGTAAAAATCTATTTACACTTATTGGAAAAGATAAATTTCTATCACTGCTGTGAACTGACCACACAGAATATGAAATATATCAAAAACTTTAGGAGTCAGCTGTCCCCGGTAGTCCTTAAGATATCAGAACAATAGCACACTCGGCAAAATATTGCCTAATTATCTTTATTGATAAAAATCCAGAAAATATTAAGATATTATTTTTTATCAATATCACACACCCCTAGTTCTGACACAAAATGATTTGCAACGGTCGCTTTGTCACATTCAGTGTAGACAGCCTCATGCTGTTGGTTTATTTCTGTTTTTTTTAAAGGGGTCATATGACGTTGCTAAAAATAACATTATTTTGTGCATTTGGTGTAATGAAATGTGTTTATGCGGTTTAAAGTAAAAAAAAAACATTATTTTCCACATACTGTACATTATTGTTTCTCCTCTATGCCCCGCCTTTCTGAAAAACGTCGATTTTTACAAAGCTCATCGGTCTGAAAAGCGAGGTGTGCTGTGATTGGCCAGCTATCCAGTGCGTTATGATTGGCCGAATTCCTCAAGCGTGTGACGGAAATGTTACGCCCCTTACCATATTGTGATGCCGTGTCCCAGCGCGACGAGACAAAAACATTAAAACCCATGACAAACGAGGCGTGTGTTGCATCCAGTGGGGACATAATTACGGATTATAATGACTTGTACTGTCTTTTTACGCGTTGTGTTGCAT